AGGGTATCCTGGTATCCAGATATGCAGGTATCCCTTGGGTGTTCAGGTTCTCATATACTCAAGTTATCACCTGCTGCCTCCTGAAGTTAACACTAGCTAGAAGTTGAAATCAGGAGTGAAATAAAAATTAAAAGTATAGGGCTCAGGAATCCAGGCAGCATTTTAAGAGTAGACCAAATGCCTGCCCCTAAATATTGCTTTATAGAGAAAAAGCCCTTCCAGGTTGAAAATAATCATGTTTTCTACATGTTTACTACAGAGATTCTGTAGTGAAGAGCTTCAGTAAAAAGAAGTAATACAACACAGCAACTTCTAAGAAGAGTAATTTCTTGGCTTAGCTATAGGTATTTGTAAGATATAAACAATGAATAGATAGCTAAACAAACATGAATATGATAAGAAAAGAAAAAAGGAGATATGGTTATTAAGGGAGGAACTATTGAGGAATACATAAGTGAGCTAAAACTTCATGTACCATAATAGGAAGATAGAGATAATATGTACAATGAGCAACAATCAGAAATAACAGTTACTAAATTTCATTTAAAAATTTAAAATCAGGAACTGTGGAAGTGGCACAACAAGCTAATCCTCTGCCTATGGCACAGACATCATATACAGGCAACCCCTTTGTGCCCAGTTGCTCTACTTCTTTTTTTTTTTTTAAAAGATTTATTTTTATTATTTTTTATTGGAAAGGCAGATATACAGAGAGGAGAGACAGAGAGGAAGATCTTCCGTCCAATGATTCACTCCCCAAGTGAGCCGCAACGGGTCGATACTATGCCGATCCGAAGCCAGGAGCCTCTTCCGGGTCTCCCACGCGGGTGCAGGTTCCCAAAGCTTTGGGCCGTCCTCGACTGCTTTCCCAGGCCACAGGCAGGGAGCTGGAAGGGAAGCGGGGCTGCCGGGATTAGAACCGGCACCCATATGGGATCCTGGGCGTGCAAGGCGAGGACTTAACCACTTGCGCCACCGCGCCGGGCCCCAGTTGCTCTACTTCTAACACAGCACTCTGCATACAGTCTGGGAAAGGAGTGCAGGATGGCCCACATCACTGGAGCCCTTGTACCCATGTGGGAGACTCAGGAGAAGTTTCTGGTTCTCCACTTTCAGTTAGCTCAGCTCTAGCCATGGGGGCCAAGAAGACAGGAAGACCTTCTCTATCTCATCTACTCTCTGTAAAATCTGCCTTTCAAGTTAAAATAAATAAGTAGTTAAAAAAATAAAAGAAATCCTTACTGGGTGAATCTATGGGGAAAAGATGTTCACAACAGAACTGTTTATAATACGTCATAGTTATAAATAAAAATATAATAGTTCTATATGTATAGAAACATAACTGTTTCTAATTAAGAGGAACTTCAATACTTAAGAGTAAGAATGTGATTTGGTCGAGCCTTTAGTCTAGCAGTGAACACGCCTGCATCCACAATGGAATACCTGGATTCAGTGCCTGGCTGCCACCGCAGCTTATTCTAATGCAGAGCCTAGCAGGCAACAGTAACTGCTCAAGTAATTGGGTTCTTGCCATCCACATGAGACCACACTCCTGCCATTAAAATCCTGTGATGGATTTAATCAATTCCCTAAATACTTCCTCTGTGTGTGTGTGTGTGTGTGTGTGTGTGTGTGTGTGTGTGTGTAAGTGCCACACAGTTGAATCAGTTTATACCTTTACTTTCATTCCGATCTGCTGGATTTGTACATGGAGGCAGACCCACCTACAATCTGACCTGTATACTCCCTCTCTCATTCCCTCAAGTCCCTGACTCCATTACTATTTTTCGGTTTATCAGCTGAGTTGGGTTAAGATAGAACTTAGGGCTGGAATTTCAAGGAAAAGCTCTGCACACAATTTCCAAGGCATTTGCTCAGCTAAAAACGTGCAGGTTTTCCCATATACTGCTGTTCCTTTTGTTTATACTTTAGAAGCCTCTCCACGGAAATATGATTATATCTGCTTCAGATTCATGACTTCTAGAACTAAGTTTCACCATATATGAATCAGTTTTGCACCAAAATAAATATCATTTAATTTTCATCCCATGGACACTTTTAAGTATGCTCATATATGTTAAGTAAAATTTTTACAGAACAGCATAAACAGTGACTCTATGTGTGACTTTATATCAGAGCTAAGAACTAGATACAAGTAGTCAACATGACTAAGTTATTTCACAAAAGAGCATATACATATAAATCAACAAATAAACTTCCCCACTTAAAAATCCCTGAAACAACCTATTATTCATTTGCGCAGACAGCTGATTAACAACCAAGAGTTCATTTAGTAATTTCCCCTTCAAAAATTACTCTATGCTCTTTTCATCAATCCAAGGACATTGTCATAAACCCCGACCTGTAACCCTAATTACCACTTTATGAGGCCCATCTTAAAATCATCCAGGCAACGTGATTTTATAAAAAGAATTTGTCACAAATGTTCTGATTATTTTTTTCCCTTTGGTTTGCATGCATTGTTACAGGTACAATTGATTAGAATAGCAATCTTTCAGTGGAAAGTGTTAAGTAAACTAGTCAATGTTATTAAACCTGTTAAATTTATAATATTTGGGAAATAGTGTTGCAACACAGCAAATTAAACTGCTACTGCAATGCTGGCATCACATGTGTACACAAGTTTAAGTTCCAGCTGTTTCATCTCTCTCTCCCTACCCTACTCTTCCCCCATCCTTTGTAACTCCTTCCAAATAAATAACTGTTAAATGAATAATATTTTAAATTATAAACACAGAGACCCCAATAATTACAAGTGTGGTTACATTCTATTGACTTGACAAGAAGCAAAATATAAAACCTCTTCTCATTGCCAAGTGTTTATAATCTTAAATTTTTTTCCATAATTTTTCACCTTTCAATAACCATCATCTAAAACTTATCTCTTAAGTTTTAATGCTATAATTTTTTGTTGTTATTATGGAATTTTTTTTGTTTAGATAGTATTTTGTTATCACATCCTTCTAAAGAAAGAAGTTTCAAAATAACTGCAAAATATGCCTGATCATCTAGTGCATTATGTCTGTTCAGCCTTCAAACAGGGAGAATTATGACCATGGTATATCAGAAAAGGGCTAAGGGGTGGTGATTATGATGTCACTCCTGAGGTTTCCTCTATTCATATAAACATGCTACTAAAAATATCAGAATTAGATTACTCTTTCTTATTTAAGAGCTGAATGCCTGGGCTGGTGTGGTGACACAACAGGCTAATCCTCCCCCCTGCAGGGTTGGCATCCCATATGGGTGCCCATTTGAGTCCGGGCTGCACCACTTCCAATACAGCTCCCTACTTATGACCTGAAAAAGCAGAGGAAGAAGCCCTAAATCTTTGGGCCCTTGCACCTACACGGGAAACCCAGAAGAAACTCCTAGTTCAGCTTCATATCAGCTCTACTCGACCACTGTGGCCATGTCAGAAGTGAGTCAATGTTTGGAAGACGCCTTACTCTGTCTCAGTAAAAAAGCTGCCTGTAAAAAAAAAATGTTTTTAAAGAAAAGAAACAAGTATCCACAATGCATTTGTCTGTTAATCATATTGTAATGCTGAGACTTTTCCCTAAGCACACAATATAGACACTGAAGGTCATTCTCAATTCTGACAAGCAGATTGAAGTAATCCATTTAAACAACTGACAAATCTACTTGCTAGGAAAATGTACTAAATACAGATAAATATAAAAATTTCTCTTACTTCAAATTCAATCTGTTTATATAAATGTCCAAGAATGAACAAATTATAACAAGAACAATATGTGATGTACCCATAAAGTATTCAATTCTAGTAGTTCTAAATTCTAAATGATATAAACACTATCACTTATCCCAGGCCTAGAATTCTAGAAATATCCTTCTCTCATTTCCCCCATTTTGAGTAGCATCAAATTTCTTTAGTAGTTGTGGTGTCTTTCTTACCACAATAAGTTCTACATTAGCATTGCCATTATAACAGGTTGTCTGATGATATATTAAATTTCAACAGAAGTACATGTGTGATGACTCTGCTTATGAACAGCACTGTATTTGAGTTTCCTGACCTGTAAATTAGGACTGTATCATGTGATAGTGTTTTGGTGGGATGGCTTTAATTTACCTATATCTACAAATGTTTCACAATAAATATTTTACTTCTAAAAGAAAACAGCATGCTCTAAGGTCATTTACAAAGCAATTTTCAAGATGCTCTCTCTGTCTCTCTCTCCCTAGATATATCTATATGTACATATATATACACATACATATATGCATATTCTTCATTTTGTAGATTTATAGAAAGATAAGCTGATTATATTAAACAATATTTCCAAAACTAGATGAAACATGTATAACTCTTCCATAAAATATTACTAATTTAAATTTGAAATAAGTTCTGTCAAGAATAAAGTTTAACAGCAGCATACAATGGCAGCACTTTGGAACTAGGCATATGTTCCAAGAATCCCAGTGGATACCTGAAACCACAGATAGTGAACATAACATTTTGTGGTGTGTACAATGTGCTTTAATTTCTCAATCAAAGATGATGCAGTAAGATACAAGTATTAACTTTCACAGCTAGAAATTTTTTGCATCCAGAAAATAACACGTATCTACACATCTATCCCAACAGCTTATTCCCTTAAGAAAATCAGTAGATTTTGTATTTAATTCAAGCTAGTTTATCTTCAGTGCAAAATCTTGAAAATGTAAACAAATTCAAGATATTATATACAGCAAGTTAATGTAAATTTTCATACTTGTACAATGCAGCAAATGGTCCCAGAGCTTGATCCACATTTGAATCCTGAATAAAAATTTCACAATATATAAACTCACTAACAAGTCTGAAATTAGTAACTTTTTAAATTCATTATTTTTACATGCAGGCAAGCTGCTGTCGATGAGTCAGGATTATTGAAAAAACACTCTTCATTAGTTTTAGTCGGCATGACTAGTACAAACTAACAGTGTGAATATATTTTCATTGAAATTGCATGGAGATGGGCTTCCCCCGGGCAGGGCGGGCGGAGACGCGGTGCTCCGCTGCCCGGGGGGCGCCGGGAGCCGTGCCCGGCGGGACGCGGGCGCCGGGGGCGATGCGGGGGGGCTGGAGGTCACCGGGGACAGCCCTCAGTGACCCTCGCTGCCCTGCAGGACTCGCCGCCTTCCTCAGGAACGCCTGGGCCAAGGAGCCGGTGCTGGTCGTGTCCTTCGCCATCGCGGGGCTGGCCATCATTCTGCCCCCGCTCAGCCCCTTCACCAAGTACTCCACCATGATCAACCAGGCCACACCCTACAACTACCCAGTGCCCCTCCGTGACAACGGCAACCTGCCCGATGTGCCCAGCCACCCGCAGGACCCCCAGGGCCCCAGCCTGGAGTGGCTCAAGAAGCTGTGAACGCCTGTGTGGAGACCCCAATAAACCTGCGGAGACCTCAAAAAAAAAAAAAAAAAAAAGAAATTGCATGGAGATGAACCTAAATAAAAACAATGTCAAAAATTAAGTTACATGATAGACTAGAGGCTTAAATCCTCACCCTGCACAAGCCAGAATCCCATATGGGCACCAGTTCATATCCCAGCTGCTCCAATTTCTATCTAGCTCCCTAACTGTGGCCTGCAAAAGCAGTGGAAGATGGCCCAAATACTTGGTACCCTGCACCCAAGGAGGAAGCCCAGAGGATGTTCCTAGCTACTGGCATCCTATCAGCTCAGCTCAGGCCATTGTAACAGATAGAAGATCTCTCTCTCTCTCTCTCTCTCTCTCTCTCTCTCTCTCTCTCTCTCCTTCTCTCTGTATATCTGCTTTTCCAATAAAAATAAATTTTAAAAAATTATTACTGCCATAGCAGTGGCTTACAGATTTAAATTATGACATAAAGTAATATAATAACTAAAGTAAGTATCTTCAGTATGTGACTAGTGACTTCTTAAATTCACTTAGTTCATACCATTCAGATGTTTTGGTTTACATGAAACATTATTACTTTTATTAGTTTTATTAAGTTTTAAAAATAAGTTTTGAAGATAACTGATTGAACAAATCCATCATGAAATATCACTAGGATATTTGCCCATATTGACCTAATGAAGAAATGAGTACTTCTGACATTTATGTTAGCTGGAGTGAAAGCAATGAGGTCAAATTCCAAACCTGATATTTAAGAAGCCATTTCTATATAAGACACATCACTAGATTTTAAGACTTCCAAACCCCTTGAAAGACTCACAAGTCTGACTTTTACGAACTGAAATTCTCACAAATGCCCAAAACTGTAAGACTGCCTAGCATCTGAACTTCGAAGAAAACTCCTGGTAGGCCTTTCAGACTTCCATTTATAATATAAAACTGACTTATATAATTTAAATGCATATTTGTGTACATAGCTATTGAGTTCCCAGGATAAATTTTTAATTATTTAAATGTCATGATGATATTTTTTAAGTCATTAATGGACCTAATGGAAAAAAAGAGCATTTTTTTTGTCTCAAGAAAAAAAATGTATCAGTTTTATTAGAAAGTCAGATTCACAGAGAGAAAAGACAAAGAGAAAGATCTTCTATCTGTTGGTTCACTCCCATGCAGGTGCGGGGTCCCAAGCCTTTGGGTATCTTCAACTGCTTTCCCAAGCCACAAGCAAGGAGCTGTATGGGAGGTGGAACAGCCAGGGTACAAACTGGCACCCATATGGTATCCTGGCACATGCAAGGTGAGCACTTTAGCCACTACACCACTGTGCCAGGCCTGGGGGAAAAAAAGCACAAGAAACAGAGCTTAGAACAATGCAGATGCCTGTCAAAAAAAGAGTGAAAAAAGAAACTGTGGTATATCTACTCTGAGGAATATTACTCATCCATTAAACAGAATGAAATGTTACCATTTGCAACCAAATGGTCCCATCTAGGGACCATTATGCTCAGTGAAACAAGTCAATCCAAAAAGGACAAATATTATATGTTCTCTATGATATAAGGCAACTTTCATGCAAAATACATGATCAATAGCCCTTTAAATTCTGGTTTTGCTACATCTCATGGGGTTTGAGATTTTTTTTGAACTTTCATCCAAAAAATAGTTTTTGTTTTTCCTATTAATTCTTCCCTGACTCATAGGTCATATAGTAGCATCATTTGCTTCAATAAGGTTATTTACTCTTCTTTCATTTTTTTCAGTGACAATGTTGGTCATTCAGTAGAATGTTATTTAACTTCATGTTGTGTACATTTACTATTTTTCTTCCGTGTTGACTTTGTTTTATGGCTTTCATTTAATGTGATGCATAGTAACTGTCTAATAGGGACTATCATTTCCAGATGTGAAAATACAATCCAGTATGCATCTCTACTTCCAAATCAAAAATGGACTCTCAATGAAACTGCTGAGTGTATCTTGACAATAGGATGCTGGACACTCTGCCATTGTCTATACCTACAATGTCTACATACACTTAAATAGAATGATGGATTGTGACTGTTTTTGAAGGATTATACTATTGTAATAATATAGGTGAAATCAGTAGCTCAAGGGAATTTGAGAAGGGAGGAGCCTAAGGAACTATATAACGGAATAATAAAATAAAATGAAATGAAACTAAATAAAATGGTTTTATTTTCAAAATAAAGTTCTGAGAATACTGTAAATATTTGTTAAGTATGCCTATAATCTTCCTTAACTTTGGTCCTCTAAATCTATTTCCTAGGATCTTAAATGGGAAAAATAATGCCAAATACTTATAGGATGTGTTTTAAAATTACAACTTTGAAATATGTAACTTTTAGGTAAAAAGCTATTGCAGGAACTGATGTTAGCATCCTATATGGGCACCCATTCATGTCCTAGCTGCTCCACTTCCCATTTGGTTCCCTGCTGGTAGCCTGGGAGACCAGAGGAGGATAGCTAAAAGCCTTGGGTCCTTGCACCATTTGAGAGACATGGAAGAAGGTCCTGACTCCTGGTTTGGGTTCAGCTCAGTTTTGGCCATCATGGTCATTTGGGGAGTGAAAGACTAGATTGAAGATTGTTCTCTGTATCTCCCTCTCCCTGCAAGTCTGCCTCTCCAATTAAAAATAAATAAATCTTTTTAAAAAGAAATTACAAAATATTAACTAAAAGTGATTGCCTACAAAGGATAAATTTTTAATCTCTTGATAGTTTTCTACAGTTTACAATTACTCCTTATTTTTGTATTTGTCAATTTTATAATCAGAAGATATAATTTAGAGGATGTGAGATCCCAAGCAAATAAAAGTGCATATTTGGGGAAGTGTGGTGGCATGCATGCCATCCCCCACATTGGCACCAGTATCCCACATAGGCACTGGTTCATGTCCAGGCTGCTCCACTTCTGATCTAACTCCCGGTTTATGGCCCGAGAAAGCAGCAAAGGATGACACAAGTCCTTTTGTCCTTGCACCTGTATGTGAAACACAGAAGAAGTTCCTGGCTCCTGGCTTCAGCTCTGCTCAGCTCTGGCCATTCCATCCATTTGGAGAGTGAAGCAGTGATAGAAGATCTCTCTGTCTCTCCTTCTCTTTCCTAAAATCTGCCTTTCAAATAAAAGTAAATAAATCTTTTAAAACACACATGCTCAGAGCCAGAAATTCACTTCTCTCCACTCCTTAACGTGCCTTTAAATTATTAGCATTCACACTTTGATATTGTTAGATTTAAATTTTAAAACAAGAAATCTTCATACTAATGTTCAGAGGAATTATAAATCACAGAATGGGCTGGCACATCTTGTGTCATAGAGAAAAGATGCAGGAAAAGAAGTTATATTGAGTACCACACCATGCCAAAATGTGGAATGTTTTTCCACTACACATGTTAAGTCATGACGAGTATGCTCATCATTGTATATTTTAGTTACATAAGCTCTCTTTTATGTTTTAGAAAAGTACAAAGATGCAGTAAAGCTACTATTAATGAGGGAATGCTGTGAATTCAGTGGAGCCTTTATTAGCTTAGCTTAGTACATTATTCTTGAGATCAAAGTTTGTTATTATCTTTTCCTATGATGACATCTATCTGTCCAATAACCTCTTGTTCAATAACTTCCATTTAAAATTTTCTCTGCCTCCAAATCAAAGGAAATACTGAGGAGCATGATGAGCCTCTGAAGATCTAAGCCTCTAAATGTTTGGGACTTCAGATGTGCCACTATACAAAAGCCATGGAGGACTATAAAGCAGGGTGAAATACTAGTGATGACCCTTATATAGATTATAGCCAAAGGAATGTATTTGGTTTGAAATACTCAATGGTCCACTATTGCTCAACTGACCTCCAAAGGGAATATTGCAATATCTCTGAGAAGGACATCAGATACATCTCTAACATACATCTGTTAGCATCTCTATGTGTCGTGTCAAGTAAGAGGAGAAAGAGGTTGACTTAACATACAGACTGAGTCTATCACTATCAGTAATACTATAAAAGTATAATATAAAACATTTACACATAACATATGGTTAGTAAAAGAGTAGAATCTGAGCTAATAAGTTCCTAAGATTTTTATTTATTGTTCCTATTTTCAACATACTGATTCATTTGCTCATAATAAAGTTGAAATCATGGTAATCCTTCTCCATGCAGAAACAGCAGGAAACAAAATTTGCTAAAGAAACACAGTGTAGGGTGTGTGGCCTTATAGTAGGAATACAAATGTAAAGACTATGTCAATAATAAATTTATAATACACCAAAATATACTACTGATAGAATAGTAACGTCTTTTTTAAAATACTACTAATAATAAGATTTCCTGGTGTGCAAGAGAGCTGAGTCTGACGGCAAGCCTAATAGGAGTTCCAGGGGGTTTCCTTTACAAACCTTAGCCATCTCTGGTTTATGTGTGAGCAGGATTTGGGAGCAAGCTGGGCCAGGCAAGGAGGTAGCACCTGCCAACGCACACAAAGACCAGATCTGCAAGGGAACCGGGCCAGGTAGACCACAACGCTTGCCTGTATGTACTAGGGTTGGTCCTGAGGTCAGAGCTGGCAGGGGTTCTTAGGGATTGTCCTGACTAGGCTGCAGTACCCACCAGTATGCATAAGAACAGGAGGAGGGGCAGGTCAGGCCACTGTACCTATCAGCACATATGAGAGTTGGGTCTGGAAACCGGATTGGCAGGGGTTATCAGGAATATTTCAAGACAGACTACTCCACTCAAACCCTGACCTCACACAACATCATATGGTCCAGCCTCAGAGCACAAGGTTGCAAGACTGGAGCACCTCTGTCCACTGATAAACAACCTATCTAGAAGCACTTGAAAGACAAAGCAGCCAGCTTCACCAGTTCAACAGGAGACCTCAAATACCTTATCAAAGATGGAAAAAAAGCAGGATGAACACATCAGGCCAAGTTCTCCACTAACTCGATAAAATAGAAATATTTTATCAAGAGAACTTTACTTAAGTATACTTAGGCAGAAAA